TGCCGGCGAGATGGGAGACTCGGATGTCCGGTGCCGATATCGACCCGCAATTTGACCCACCGACTGCCTGCGTGGTATTGCGCCACGTGGCACTTTCGCCTACATAGGCTAACTATGAACTCTCATCCGAATGTTATTGCTACTCAAGACGTAACTTAAATATATGGCGCTTTCCTATTTAGATTATTGATCGACTGCAAAAGTTCCATCTTATCCCGCACACTGGAAATAAAAGCATTAATATACATAAATAATAATGTCCCTGCTGATACACGGAAGAAATGAGGCCCACATGAAGGCTGGGGCTATTGTGGGAGCAAAGAAGTGACAGGAACAAAGAGTTCTGAGTTGCAGATCGCATTACAGCCTAGCGACGGCATTCAGATGACGACTCCGAGAAACGGACGAACCGGATTCTAGAGAACTCGTTTTACGGCTGAGTTACCACTGTATAGCATTGTCCAAGGACGAACGATGACGTTTATTCCGTTGCTATGACTCTTATGAGAATAAAACTATTTGTCGGCTTCGACTGCCTTCAAACCGCACATTCAAGTCGCTGACCACAAGCGATTTTCTCTGTTTAATTAGTTTTTGTGCGCAGTCTCAGCGACCATAAGTAATCTTGCAAGGCTTCGTCTATCCAATTAGATTCCGTAATTGTAGCAGTAGTGTTTTGTATAATAAAAGCGAGACAGAATTTTGCTTACCAAGCAAATAAGATTTGGAAAAAATAGGACACTACAAGTGCCGCCCCCACACTCTCGAAAGCCCCGCCCATTTGCGAAGCCCTGTTTATCAGTCAAGTTAACGAAACTGATGGTTCCCTCTTCTCTTCTGAAAAGTCAAATATAGCCGAAATCGTGAGTAGAAAATTCGAGTAACTTTTCAAGCTATATAACAAAACTAGCTTTATGGAAGAGGCCAACGAAAGAGCAGAATAAAAATCACCTTTCCCCAACGTTTGTTCTCTTTAAACCAAAAGTTACATCCACTAGTACGGTAGCACATTCGTTCCAGTACTTCAAGAATTTTGCCAAATGATAGCCCTAGTCTGTGTTTATGGCAATATTATGCTTTAGAAGAAAGAGCTTACTAAGTCGTGAAGTAAGTGGACCTTTCCAGAATAAAAAGCATGGGTTTCTACACTCTAAAAAGAGCCAACGAACTTCGTACAGATAATTACATACCTATACAAGCTCGGAAAGGATAACCTTATGATACAGCCCCGCCTTCGAAACTTCAGGCAAAAGCCTAACCACCCAAAAAAACATACAATAGTTTGAGAGCACGGTGATTCTTCATGATCTCTTCATTAATAAGTCACCACTGTAGTCAAATTTTTCCCTTTTAAAAACCTCTGATACCTCCCAAGTGTATGAACGAATGAGTTAAAGTCTCGTTAACCAGGTCAAGGTAAGTGTAGTTTACCACAATTGACGCTCCCCCCCCCCTTTGCATCGACTTCTCGGGCCGGCACTTTCTTTTTCTCGCCTGCGCTCTCGCACCGAGACAGTGCTTGAGTAATTACCTATGTAGCATTGCTACTCAGGCAGAGGTGATAACAATGGAGACAACTAAGGGTTTCGTGACAACCACTTAATGTAACCTAGGAAACTTAAATGTTGCAAAACAGTCATTCGCCTCCTACAGAGGTTAGCACTGTATACCACACCCGGATCGCTCACACGAGCCTTCACTAGAAGCCCCATCAATCGATAGGGTGCCAATAAGCAGATCTAACCTATGCGTTGCGCGCTTCTCCCATCACCTTTTACTGAATTTCTCTCACAAGCGGCGGATACCGGAGCCCCAACCTTCCCACACTGTCATAGGGATTGCAACTAGGTCTCCTAAGGGACCGAACAACTCCGTACAAAATCGTTTGGAGAAATTGAGGGTCTACTTCAAATGTTCTAATCTGGGCCTACAAGCATTGGGGCGGGAATACATGTTCAGAGCTCAACAATTCTGAGAAAGAAGGAAATGACGACTCTGAGAGAAAGGGTTTCATCGAAAAGAACAACCCTCAGAATAGTTATTGACCTTTTGATAAAATATTGCTATATCTGAGCTTTATCCAGATGTCTTATTCTTGCATGTGCACTTTTTCAAAGCTCTTGTTCCCATACTTTTATTGATAAGCTTTCGGCATGTAATGCCTTCAGGAGGTCACGCAGCTCCTCTTTTGCGTTGATTTCTGGCTTATGCGGGATGCTTCCCGTGTTTTCATTATCTTCCTCTCGAGGCTGTACCAAATGTCTATGCAAAATCCTCATGTCGAAGTATAGAGTGTTGTCTTTTTCACACCCATGTGTACGGTGCCTGGAAAAACTGCTATGTGGATCGGCAGCGGAATTAGCCAGCCCTCTTCTGTGCCCGTCCAGGCGGAATCTTCAAGGGTCCTGCAGTGTCCCTTTTTTTCCGCATCCTCTGAATTGGATCGAATAGGCGGTGCCTTTAACTTCGAAGATCTTTTCGGATGTGCAGTATCGACAAAACTGTTCGCGGTAGATTTGGTAGATTCGAGACGATGTTGGAAGATCCCTGGAGGGGGTGGGAAAACAAGTCGAGTGGGGAGCTAGGAGTTCTTCGCGATGTTCACTTCACACCCCTTTTTGTCGTAAGCAAAATGCACGATCACACCGTCCGCCGTTCTGTGCGAGATCCTGGCCATCATATTGCCTTCAAAGAATCCCTTACTATCGAGAATAATTTTGATTTTAGCAGCAACAGCTGGATCCCTTCATGTCCCAAGCTTCCCCTTCGTTTTCAAAAGATCCCGCACGACGCTTGCCTTTATATAAATAAGATGTGCGCTCCCAGAATGCAGTTAATGTTCGACGAAGCACTTTTCGATGCAACAGGAGGGCCTTGTAACTTTCACTATCCGTATCTAGCAAGGAATGATAGAAATCTAACCCCCTTTGGACCTTTCCTTTTAAAGGCCGTGTCAGCGTTGTGAGAGTTGAGTCTCTTCAATGTTTCCACGAGGTCTCTTTCCGTTGTTCAATAATGAGCTACTGAGTTCGTTCACTTCCCCTGTTACCCAGAACCAAACCTTCTTCTTGCCGCCCTTCCCCTACCCTAACGCACACTCCACCTCTTCTCCGTCACCCTTTCACTACTCCCTCTCCCCGCATCATACATATTTGCTTTTCTCAGGTCTAAATCGAAACCTTAGTACTTACGTACGTACGTCTAACCAGTAAGTGAGCATGCCCTTTATCAAACAAACAGTGTATAAGAACAGTAAACAAGTGGTATTTACCGAACACCACTGGACAATAGAAAAAAATAAACAGTAAAAGGTAAACAGTGATGAGCACAAATATGACAACTTATTGGAAAAGTACTGGCCCAAAATAAATAGCAACGGACCAGTTTCCGTGGAATGAGGTTGGGAAGGCAGTAACAAAAATTTTCAAAATGATTAATTTGCTCTCCTTAATTTGTGTTTACTCAGAGCACATGCACGTAAAAGATAGATATCGATTATGTATGCTTGGAGAAATGTTTGAGTATACTCGCTTCTGGGGAAGGTTGAGATTTGAAAACAGTCGAAGGAGGTAATACAAATGAAGAGAATGAGCCTAGGTCAACTTCGTGGAATATCAGAAATGAGAATCTGCATTGAAGAGCTTCTGGAAATCCTTCCGACGGAAACATTTCTTACACATTGGACGCATGTCCATGTTGAAAACTTGATCGCTGAAAAACATCGTATAACTACAATCATTTCGAATAGATAGAAGTGAAAGAACAACAATTTCACTGGGTCGTTCGGGAAGAATGTGCCGGAAATTTCGCGAACGTTCCGATTATTTGTGGAACCCTCTTCAAGTTTCCATGGGAATACTAGATGAAAGCACTACCCTTTTCATGGGCACAATAAAGCCGACTTCCCGATCCTTTCTTATTTAACCCTATAACTGCCTACAAAAACCATAACAATTATTTTCACCCTTTCCCAGAGTACTCAAGGGGTTTGCTCTCCTAAGCAGACAGGTAATTATCGGGCACACAGTACTATAAGTGGTCAAAAACGCTGGTTCACCAAAAAGCTGTCCCCTGCATGTCGTTTCAAGCACCGAGTTTCACGTTACACACCCATGTCTATGGAGTTTTGCCAATATTTACCCCAAGCGACCCCAATTTTCGAAATTGGAGCCGATTGGACGCCAATCATCGAAAGCGCCTACCGCCCATTTCACAAGCTCCAATAAGCGCAAAGTGAAGTTTTACTAAAATTGATGCTAAATTTGTAACTAACAAGTCAACTGCCACCTGAAGGCCAATTGGCTACCAAATCTACCCACGACCCCTACCCACATCACAACAATGAGGAGAATTCAATTCAATCTTCGAAAACTAGGGTCTTACGAGTTAATCGGAGTAGATAGCAATAGAGTTCCTAAAGTGGGATTGAAAGCAAATCGTGTAGAAATTGATAAACCCGAAGAACTCGTCAACTTCCTCACAAAACTTTACGTACCTATGTCGTAGTACTCGATCGCAAGCCAAGCATCGGTAACAGTCTACACACCATTTCCTACCGAGAAGGCTGACAGTTGTTCCAGACAAAAGCCGATTGCAACGATGACAGTACTCGCCGCAAAGCTAAACTATAACCTTGAGCGAAACGTCTACAGTTACATACACAGTTAACATATACCGGAGACCCTTAGAACAGGAGATGTCGACGACCTCACTCATTTTGTTGGTTTCTTTTCTTCCCTTTATAGGTGAACGATAGAAAAGAGACAGTAAAAAAAAATATCCAGCCATGAAGAGAGAACAGAAGAAATAGAACTGGAACTGGCTCCGCTCATATGTACAATTACGAATAACAGCGACCCTTTGGCAATACTGAGTTCGAAACAATGACCATTTATTAATTATTAATTTATGGCCACCTGAGCGTTTGTCCCCTCTTTTTATTGAGCTTTTGCCTCCCGGTTATAACTCACTAGGCTGTGGGCGGAGCAGGTCAAAACGAACTAAGGTGTGAACAGCCAATGAGATATGTAGGTGCAATGGGTATGTGAACCGCCTCCGATTGGTTGGCCACAGCACGGCCTGTTTTTAATTGTTCCACCCCCACTTCGATACAATGCATATCTCAAAAAAAAAAAAGAATACAGTTTACCGTCTACCTGCACAATATCTTCCTCACAGTATGCTTTGCCGTTGTGCTCAAAATGATGCCTTCCCATAAAGGCGACACCACACTTTGCGCAGCGAAAGTGCTAAGAATCACCACTTCAATCGAGCGATATCCACACGGATAAGTCTAGAACTTACCTCTACATGGAACTTTTTTCCCAAGGCCATTGTGCTTCGTTCACGTTCTTTGTCAATAGGCTTATGACAGCTGGCACAGGTCTCACAACGCTTATCAAAACATCGTGGACAGTACCAGTTCTTAAGCAGTTGACGAGCCTCTCCAGTTAAAGCCACTCTGAAAACAAGTGAGTAAACTAATGATCAGTTGGTAGCAGTAGGAACGAACTTGCAATCTGTGCAGTGGAAATTAAGAGATCATCCGGCTCCACCAGTTGACGACCTAAATGAGTTGATGCGATCCAACTGGACAGGATGCATAGAAAGAATATGTTGTGTGGTATAAGTCTTCCTTGAGAGATAGGAATTGAAAAATGGGATTTTCTGGTTAACAAATCAATATGGCACGTTCACTGTACTTATTTCGAGTTAATCCACATCACTATAATGCTCAAAACTGGGAACTTGAATTAAGCTTTCATCGAACCCTATGACTACCGAAAGGTCCGAGATATGCCGTGCGTTCTGCTTCTACTCAGGATCGTGATGGTATTCGATCACGTATTTAGACAATGCACTGAATTACGGGAAACTAACGAATTATTAGGCTTCCTTTCGGATAAGGGATCGGGATTTTCCGGTTTGAAATTAGTTCTGAGGTTAGAACTCTGAAGCTACGACTATTTTACAGACGATAGAACCGTAGGGCCACAGCTGGCGTTACCGGCAATGAAGAGACAAGCACTCACACTTCACACAGATGTAACGCGGCACTTTCGGGGACTTTTCCTTGCAGTTGTAGCAAACCATACTAAAATAAATCCGGTTACACTTCAGAAAACCTTAGGACTTCATGCACGAGAGAGTTTCACCAACCTTCCATCTACACACCATGCACCATCGTCTAAACTACCGTCACAGCTTGCACATCTGAAGCAATCCGGATGGAAGCAGTAGTTTGCTGACTTCATCACTTTTCCGACGATAAAGGAATCTGAAATTTTACGAGATCAGACCTCAATCTTTTTCTGACATCTTTCTGTAAATACTTCATTGACGTTTTCTCTTGAAATTGCCCACCCTGTTTGATAGTGAAGTCCCACTGCAAAAAGGAAGAGCAATACCAACTACTCGTGGCTGCTGTCATTATATCAGAGCACCTGGCTTCGGAAATGATTCGAGCTCGCATCTACCTCCAGTGATTTCAGTCGTGCCTGGCCACCATTTTTCTCAACTCAGTACCGACCATCTTCTCCGTTATTCTCGATAGCAAAATTGTTTTTTTTTGATGGATACTTTATTTGCTGGGATCAGCTATAGGAGTAAACCTATGAAAACACATTGAGAAGAAGAGCAGGAAAGAGTGAGGTAGGCGTTTCTGTAGTTTAAAGGATAGAGAAGCTTCCCCATGAGCAATTTTGCCTTCTTACCCCCTCCGAGATCGAACATTTTGCTTCAACTTCCTTGTAATAACATTCCCATGTCAAACTGAGGCCAAAACAACGGGTAAACAACATAATGTCGACACTTATCTGTTGAGCTGCCTAACCAAGGTATTTGTCAGAGATCTCAGGACAAGGCCAGATATTCGCCCTCTTAATTATGGAAATGCTTAATTTGGGCAGCATCCTATTCAGCAGCCTTCGGACCAAGGGATTGGCAATGATGGGGCCCAGTTCCAGCATCTGTGAAAGTGGGTGGGCGACAAATACATCTGACATTCTGCCGCCTTGATACCGCACATAGCGATAGGCAATACTCGTTACGCACCCATAATTTATCCATCACTTTCGATGAGGGGTTTTCTTAATGGGATTCTTCTCCTGAAGGCATGTAATTACCAGCTACCGCACACCCACTGATGAAAGTCCTTTTGGGACCTTTTCAATGAATGTCAGCTTCGAAAGCATCCAACCCTTTTTTCCCTCCTCTCTTCCTCTTCTCTATCCCTCATACCCTGCTCCCTAATGTTTTTTTGGGCTGGGCATTATGGGACAAGTTTTCCCACGATTGTGCTCGACCCTGGCGTTGTTTCGATACGAATTCTGTCACCCTCGCGTGGGAATATACAAAAGGACTGAGCTCAACTGTGTACTAGTTATCGATGGGATACCAAACTTCATTCAGTCCCAGGTGCTCCATATGATCTGAGGGGGTCAGCGACAGCCCATGTTGGATTTTTTTGAGGAAAAAGGAATCCATAACAATTACCTGGTCGTCATTTTACCCAAGCAGTTTGCAGCATCCAAAAGATATTTACGAAAATTCAAGGGTATTTTTCGAAGAGATATACAGACTCACTGCATTTCGTACATATTGGAGAGTAGAGCACTTCAAAATCGTGCTTACAATAAAATCGCCCATCCACCTCGAAAAAGTCTTCATTCAAATCCAATGATAGAAGGCACTGCGCGCATCTGGAAGTGGCTGAAGCTCAGATACGTTCTGTGAGATCGTTTGAAGAGTAGCAAAACAGTAAGCGTCACGTACCGGAAGCATCCTTGATGCCAAGACGTTCCTTCCAGAGCTACATAGAGCTCATCTTCACGAAATGGCTGGTGACACCGATTACAGGTACGTGCAAGAGATTCAAGCTCAGCGACGACATCTGCCGCTGACCTCAAAAAGAGTGGCATTGAGTGAAGAGAGCTGAATCATTCCATGCATTGAACCATAACACGAAGTGCCTGACTCATCCCCCATACGATACATCGCTCCAGCCCCCCATACCCCATTCCCATAGCTATGGAAAATGTCAGAATTCCCACCGAGCGGCTTCTGTTTTCCAACGAATCTCATCGTTACTGATTCTAGACGCCATCTTGGCGACAAATGCAGCTGGNCGACATCTGCCGCTGACCTCAAAAAGAGTGGCATTGAGTGAAGAGAGCTGAATCATTCCATGCATTGAACCATAACACGAAGTGCCTGACTCATCCCATACGATACATCGCCACAGCCCCCCATTCCCCATTCCCATAGCTATGGAAAATGTCAGAATTCCCACCGAGCGGCTTCTGTTTTCCAACGAATCTCATCGTTACTGATTCTAGACGCCATCTTGGCGACAAATGCAGCTGGCAATGGGTGAAAAATTGATGAAGGCTAGAAGTTACAGTTAGCTACAGCATTGCAAATATCGGGGCAACTGTATGATTTCAAAGGCGAAGGCGTTCAGCTATTAGCTTATCGCCGACGCTATCGCAATACTTGAACATCGATCGATTGCACGTCTTCAAAAGGAAATCGGTCATTCATCTGAAATATCGTATTCTCGGATCGAAAAGGAAAAAATTACTAAGAAAAATATTATAATTATTAGCCACCATTTTATCGGGGTCATCTGCGAATCCTACCGTAAGAAACCTTTTCAGAAAAAAGCACTCGAGAAACGTTGGTGCTGTTCCGACAAAAGGTGCAACTTACTTTTAGAAAAATAGGAAAATAGGGCTTTTGGTAGGGGGTTGCTCACGTAAAAGTTTATCGTGGATCCTTCAATTCTACCCTCGTCCAAAGAAGTTACACCGAGCCCTCAGAGATGTTTCAACTGTGATGAAGAAAACGGGATTGTTCGCAGCGATCCGAAAATACAAAGCATTCTTTGAACTAATCATTTGAACGAGATTATGACGACCAACGCGCTTTCGGACGAGATTTCAATTGATTGCAACGACAAGAAAGGTGCTACATTTTGAAAAGTATCGCTCTCCAAAGGGACGCTAAATATTTCCGTCTTACAATTAGCAGTATTGAGCTGCTCTGGATGTGGGTGTCGATTTTGAACCCTTATTTTCATCTATCTGTGTAGCTTTTTTACATGGCAGTGTCCTATGTAGCCTTCTCTGAGATTCCTATCATTAGGAAGCCTTTAAAATCATATTAACATATTCACTGTACCTTTGAGTACCTTTAGCGGTGCTTCATGTAACAGTAAGGCTAATGCTACACATCCTAGAAACCCTTTTAGATAGTAACCTTTACATTACCGCTTATCGAACAGTGAAAAGGAACTAATGTCCAAGTCGTAACTGCAATCAAGCTCTGAACCGTATCCCTAAGCTGAGCACAAAAATCAGGATTATAATTCATTGGGTATCTCGGTAACCTTCTATCTCCATTTTCCCTGCAAGTCAGATCCCGAATATATGCAAAAATCATAAAGTCCAATTCTGAAGTAGGGAGTTAGATCTGTTGTGGCTCCCTCATTGTCGGTAACTGGTCGCCGTGAAGTGGTGGGTACACAGTGTCCAATATGCAATATGATCCTCTTCCAACAGTTCTTCAAAACAATGTCATTCCTCGCTCCTACCCCTACACTGTCCTTTTCAAGTCTAGTCTACTGCTCTAACTCGTGGAGTGAAACCCTCAGCTGAGTGCCGCTAACTAGCTCTACGCTTTTTGCTCAGCAAGAACTGCCACAGATCCTTAAAAATAAATACGGAGAGCCAGGATCAACGTTCACGATTTGAGTAGAGGCGTGCATTAGTATTTATTGAAGTATTTTATTAACAGTGTGGAAGTGGAGGCGTGTTCACAAATGCATCTTCGGGATCAAATCCTGGCTCGGACCTCGCCTAAGATATCAAGTCTCCCACAGGGCGGTAAATTGTCACCGGGCTCGATGTTGGGACAAAGGCGTTCACTTGTTCATCGGCTGGCCACAGCATGTGATTCTTTACTGAACGGAAATTTAATGCGGAGGCGCAACCCAGAAACGGGACTGGTTAACGTTGAAGACCTTATCCTCGATCTTTTTTGACATAGCCATCCCTATTGAAACATTATGCATTCGATTGATGATACCTTCAATGGCTAACTGCTGAAGAATCCGCTTTCCTTGAAGCTTCGCCAGTTTCCAGAATCATTTCATACGGGATGATGTTGAAGCATGGCCACCGGTAATATGCTGAACCGGTGAGAGACGAAGATTCTATGAAAGACTATGTGATGTTTGAAAGGGATAGCGAAAGCAAGGCAGACTGGGCGTTTAGCGCTGCGCTCCAGCGCTTAGTGTTAGCGACGGGAGGTGGCTCCCCAAGTAAATTTTCACCGCGAACCCATACGAAAAGTTGGAATGGGAAAAGGGTTCCGGTATCTTCTCCCCGAACAATGCGTCGCGCTCGCCGCAGCCGCCGCGTATCACAGCAATGCGGTGGAAGATTGGAGCGCGCAATTCGTGAATTCGGGAATCCTTTAATTATTTGATTTTGCTGACCGCTTCCTTCAACTCCAATTCGGTCTTGATCGTTGACAGGCGGAGGAATTATGCCAAGTTAGTCAAAAAAGAAAAGCAGTCAACGAGAAATATTGCGTCCTATCGATTGGCGGGGAGGGCTGAGTACGGTATCTGCAGTTCGAAGCCGCGGGACAACAAAAAAAAAGATTTGCCTCATGCCACAAAGCGAGGGTGTGTGTACATTCGTGCGATTCGAGCTGCGCGCGGCAAGTTGCGCGGCGAAATTCATAGCGATTCTGACGAATTTAGCGCCTATTATTGTTGCCCAAATTCCAGTAAAGTGGATTAGTAGGATTAGCTGTCCATACTGATCTACTATACTTCAAGTTTGTGCCCCAACAATAGGCGCCAGGGCCGTTCGAATGGCCACTAACCTTGCCGCGCAAATTGCGGCGCGCAGCTCGAATCGCACGAATGTACCGTCCCCCGCAAAGCGAACGTGGGAAATTAGGGAGAAGTTCCGTCACCCCCTCTCTGACTACATGATCAATTCCAGAGGGACGGGAGTAAAGAGACGCGAGGCAGGATAGAGTCACTATGTCTGCCTTCCAAAAGTTATTCACCTCAAAATCTATCAATTAGGGCGGTTTACTATAAGATCTTCATTTCTACCATCGCACACGATCATTTTGTTGATGACAGAATTCCAATTTCCTTCTAGTTAGAAGGTCACTGCACATGTGATAAGCTACTACCAGTTTTTACCACCACCCTATAAAAGTGTTTACCAGATTCTTTCTGTACTTTCTTTATACTTGTCCCCTCTCGCGTACAACAACCCCACAACTCCGTTGTTCACCCGATAGAAACAGAAATAAACTACAGTTTATCTTGACTGCAAACAAAAAACCTTTCAAATTTGTTACGCTAAGAGGACAAAGACCCGTAGTCATTTCCTACTGGTAAACAGGACGTTTTAGACGAAAGAACTGCTGTCAATATACCTTATTCGGTGAACAAACAGACGAATGGCTGAATCCGGACTTTGCGTTGGCACATGGCCAACAGACTCTAGACGGATACAGGTTGGTACACTCCATCACTGTTGTTGATGCATCGAAATCGGATTGAATATTCATGTCAGCACACCTCGTCTTCGTCTTCATTGTGTGAAGTACGTAATTTCATCACACGAAGAGTCTACGTAGCATCAAAGGTACCTAGGTAAACATGGTTTTCGAAATGTGCCAAAGTTAACCCGAATCCACCCAATAACAGTCCCGGTCCGGAGCGGTGGGTATGCGCCTCTTCGATGCGCACAGTCTCCTGAAGATACTGAGCCTATGGAACCTCGTTCCTTCCCTGCTAGGTGTATCCCTCACTGGTGGATTTTAAAGTTCTGCTCTTGTGATGACTTGTGATGAACCAACAGGAATGAAAAGCAAAGAAACATTCTCGATGAATGGGAACGGTGTTACTTCTTCCCGAATCCCCAGGACAAATGGCGTTGGTTCCGCGGTCGCTACCGTATCTTTCCTCTTAGAGCCCAAACCTTTCCCTTCGTAGTGGGCGATCGAGTGCGGCGAGCGCAAAGTGATTTCCGGGGAGACATACCCACACCCCTATTTTCAAACGAAATGATGTGAAATGTGGCTGATCGATGGGTGCAACCCACTTGCTACCACCCATCGATAGTAAGTAAAGGACAGGAGTCTTCTTGGAGTATAATCTGATGAATAGTTTCACAGTGAAGAAGTCAAATTGAATCGAGTAAACAGAAATAGTTCTTAGTAGGAGGCAAGAAAACATTTCTGCCAATGACTGATTTTCGGAGGCACTGGAAAGCCTCCTATTCGGGTTTGGGTGCTTTTACCGCGGAATCGTGCTTTGTGGAAGGGAGGACTTGAATTCCTAGAGGGGGATTACGGTAATCCCCGCGGAAGTATTGTTCGTTTCAGTACCAGCACGGTTCAGGTGTAGCCAAGCAAATAACAGATGCGCACAATGAATCGTAGTTCCATATGCGAGCTTCCCAAACGGATCTCAAATAGTCTTTTGCACTCTATAAGTCAAAATTCAAGTCAAAAGTCAAAAGTTAATTGATTTGTGAACATTTAGCTTATCAATCAGCACCAGAACCACCGAACAACATGAAATCATTGAAAAATTCTTTCCTTTATTAGAATGTCGTCATTGCAACTGTAGGTTTAATTAAGACACATTTCAATAGTGTGTAATAATGGAATAAACTACTGTCGCAGATATATAATGATGGTATCGGAAAATATCTCGTTCAACGAGACAAATGCGAAAAAAAAGAAATAATCTCCAATCAAAGTGACAACATGAAATGCAATACTACTAGAAACTTAGGGATTCAACGAATAATGCGCAAGAGTATCACTTTGCCATGTGTATGTGGATTTGAATGGATTTTTGGAGACGAAACGGATCAATTGAGAGGATATCTGGATAATTAGAAACAATCTTTTATACAGGATTCATTGGTTTTATTTATTCCAAAAGATCAATGTAATATATACATCTATCATGCATCATCTAAACTCGACTAAACTAACATCAATTTATGAGAATATCATGCACACATGAACACAGAACGCGCACGCACCATTTGTAATAATGAACGGAAAGATAAGCGACGATAAACTTCAGCAATTGATAATGACAGTAGTATTTAAAGGTGAAAGGATTCACCGTGAGAGTAAACAAGATAGCGATGCGACGCACCCATGCAACAACTGACATAGGGACCGGGATTCGCACGTGAAAGGCGAGGTAGACGGTTCGGAGGAAAAACCAGAACAGCGCCGAAGCAGACGAGATTGAATGAAGAAAATGAGACGAGATCACCGGCAAATCACCAACGGGTATTACGAGTTGGACGCGGTCCTGGAGGAGGTGGAGGCGGCACATCTAAAGAAAACAAGCTACTGAAAAGTTCGACCTTTTACTCTTACAAATCATTTTTCTTTCTCGAAGAAGATTTGGTTACTCAGCTGCCACTGAGGCGACCGACACCCAATAAACCTAACAGAAACGTATCTCGGTGACAGCTGAATAACCAAACCAGAATTGCATTGAGAACTTTCAGAACTTGAAAAATCGTCCGTTCTAAAATCACCTCTTAACGTCATTGCCCGATGGCTGGATGAGAGAAGTGATTTTGGAGACCGTGGAGTGCCTGCGGTACCTTGAAACGATATCAGAATAATACATAAAAAAAACGAATAAATAGATATACTTATTATATAGAACATAACATCGATAATACGAGTAATCAACCTACCAACACCAAACTCCTTCGCTAAACGATCAGCAAGCGACATTCTTTCTTCGCCAGATTCTGAGCTGGAGCCGATAGACATATCACTAGACGACGCAGGCACAGTACTAGCTGGAGTTTCGACTGGTGGTGGTGGAGGAGGTGGAGGTGGTGGTAACGTAGGAGCTACCGGAGGAGTAGGAATGCATGACTGAAAAGGAGGCAAATAGCAAAATATCGCGTTCACGCCCCAAAAAAACTAATGGGTAACACGATCACACGTTACAAATTAGACTTGTGGGAGTAACTACCTCTTCTAAAATCATTTTCTTGACCACCTCCAAATCTGGAGGTACCCCTAGTGGAGGAATGGGAACAGAACTGTCCAAAGGTCGCAGAAGGGCACTTTGATCCTATAACCAGTGTTTACAAGAGTTTTGCATGCGAATGGATCAAAAGCTTAAAAACAGCACTTGACATACCAGAGAGGTATCCATAGTGGGAATGAATGAACGGCTTGGTCGACTACTACTCTCCCCGATTCGACCTTTATGATCGTTTCCCGTCGTGCCCTGCGCCGTAGCAGCTCCAGTTGGACCACCAGCACTGTCTGAAGGCCCCATCGTACTTCGACGCCTTTTATAGTCTTCCAAGCTCAGTCGCTTCGCCTGAAATCAAATTTAGAGTAGCGAGAGCTCCATGCCGACTAAGAATCATCATGAGGACCAGTACAGCACCTTTCTTACTTCAACTGGAGAAGCCAATGGCACTTGTGATGAGGTTGACGTAGTCGTTGCCGTGTCAACAGAGACCGAAGGTAGTGTTGTGGGAGGTTGGCGTACTGACGGCTGAGGTAGAGGCCTATGCACAGTCTCAGCCAGATCGAAATCCACATGTAATCTTTCATTTAAATTTGGCATCAGGTAGCGTAAGGCCATGTTCCAATGAAAGCGAAACCCCTCTGCTGTAAATATATCTATTAGAATCAAAACTTGCATGGCCTTCACAATCTTACCTTTCGCACCCATTTGTGCTAAAGCCGTGGCAGCAACATGCTCATCGGATTGGCAAGCATCTAACATGTGTCTCCTTTTCTTCAATGGAGGACTCATCTGTAACGCAAACATTGTAAAAGTTCTCGTCAAAACGAAGGGATGAAACGAATTGTTGACAAATACGTTCCATCTCTTCCTTTAAATCCCTCTCAGTAACCAAATTCTCAGGTTTTTCAACATAAAAAAGCTCGAAATCCACACGGCAGACCGACCTGAACTCTTGAAGGTAAGGTGGCAATATCACTAGTGGAATCAGCCGCGCAGGACAGAGGTTCAGATGACGCTGTAGTATCAACCGCTTGCAAACTTTCTTCACTGACTGATTCCGCGGCGTGTCTTCGCAACCAAAGTTTTTTCCCTCCAACGCTACTTGGATTGACTGAATCGGCTGAACTGACATCCCCAGCCCCCATCGAGGTGGCAGATGATGAAGATGTTACTTCAGGTGATGAGGCTCGTTGAGCTGCTTCTGAGAAAGCTATCGTTGTGACGTTTTAGGGAACAAACGTGCGAGGATCTCTTACCGTTTTCTTTCACTGCTGCTGCCCAACGTTTTCTAGGTGGTTGAGCTATAGTGGACACTTCATCGACTTCGTTTTCTTTGAATTCTTCTCCTATAAATTAAATTCATGAAAAAAGAAAAATGAAAGGAAACACGTTCAATACAACCTCCAGAAGCAAACGCACTCTTCTTCTTCCCACGCGGGCTTTCCCGGACGGACGGCTCAACGACAGCCTCAACTTTCTTATCCTTCTCCTTCTCAGGATGCTTCTCCACGTGCCGCTTTCCCACCTTTCCACTGGTTCCAGTGCTAGATCTAGCCGGTCGTCCGGGACCCTTAAAATTGCAACATTTCGGTAGAAGTGAAGAAGGAAGTAATTAAGATGGTGCGGCTTCTATCAGCGACCGCAGATAAAACTGTAAATCAAACGCACTCGTTTTTCTTTGGCATCACCGGAATCCTTATGAGCTTCTGCTCTTCTCTTCTCTTTCTCCTCTTTCCTTTCGATAGCCGCTAGAGCAGCTTGCAGTTTCCTTTCTTCCCGACTCTGAAGAGTAATGAAGGTCAGATATACGTGAACCCCATAAAACTGTCAAAATTTTGCACTCACAGGTTTGTTCCTATCTTCTGGCAACGTGTAATCCATTACCACCTTCAACTGCTCTATTGCTTCCCTTTTCGGGAACCGACTCGAGCCGGTACTATTCCTACGCCTCCCACCTCTTGGTTGTTGTTCCTCCTGCAAGCGGAAACGGTCAGTCATACAAGCAATGAACGGCAAAGTAAGAAATACCTTTTTAGGGGATGATGGCGCGGACTTATTTCCCTCCGAAGCTTGCCTGGCCTGGGACGATTCAGGTTGTTCTGTGCTAGCGGGTTCGTTTACTTTCTCTTCCTCTTTGACTTCCTCGGCTGCACCTTCTGTTGGAGGAGCGTGGGGAGTGGAAGGCGGCTCTGCTGCTTGTGGTTCTTTTTTCGCTGTTGTTTCTTCCTTTTCCTCAGTCATTTTTTCCTCCCTTGAATAGAGAAAAACAAGGATCTATTTTTCTCCATGCAATAAATTGAACTTTACATGTTATCAGCAGTATCTGTTTCGGCACTCTGCTCCATTGATTCATCGGATGACTTTGTGTTCTTACTATCAGAATGTCGACGAAGACGAATCCCGACCTTCTTTGGTTTTCGACCAACAGGACCCTAGAAAGTCATTTTGAGGTGGATGGAAACTAAAAAGAAAAATTCTAAGTTTAACCTTCTTTCGAGGGGTATCTTCGGCGACCTTTTCCTTTTTACCACTTCCCTTGGGTCGCCCACGATTCTCTGTCTTCGGTTTCTGAGGAGATGCGGCTGCTTTTGCAGCTCGGCTCGAAGCTGTTCCATTTGAAGGCTGAGACTGCTGTGCCGCTACATCACGATTTGAGCGTTCCTAAAATACTAGGCATTGAGGTGTTGGAGGCACAACACGAATAACACACCTCGAATGATGCTTTGTTACGAAGAGAGTTATTGAATTGTTTCATATAGCAATTCGGGTCTTCACCACAAGCGCATTCAACTGGTACGAGGGTGTCTCGGAAGTCGCAATCGAACGGTATTGTAACCTACAAAGAGAATCATTGGAAACCACAAAAGTCAATGACATCTATCTGTAATTGTAATATTTAAAGGAAATAACTCTTGATACACATAATAATACCTCAGTTCCTTTTTCGATTCTTTCAGAGGCAACTAACATAACGTAAATACTTCCATTTAACAACACATGTTTGAGAGTAGAGTTAGATCGACAACATCTGGAAAATAAAAGAGTGAAATGACTGTTTTATGGAAGAAAAATGATAAACACCTTTATAAACGAATTAATAGCCAAATTACCTGCGCGCGAATCGAGCTTCACTTCCCTGACGACGAGCATCAATACAAAGAAGATTTTGGCCTAAACCATTATACAAAACACAATATGGCTGCAATGCACCACGCTGCAGTCTGCCAGGACATTCATCTGGTAAGCAAACATGTCCCACATATTCCATAATGACATCGTCCTGCTTTATAGCCTCGGTTGACACAAGGCCTGACAAAAATCACAGCTCATTGACACATAAATATATACATAAGGGATACGAACAGAAACGTACCTTCAATATCCGGTGCTACAAACATTCGCTTTCCACGTTTCAGATCACGCGAGTTCTCCAAAATACTCTGAGCACCAGCAGTGGTGTCAAAAAGGGCCAGCATCTGTTTTGCTCGTTTCGTGTACTCGTTGCGGCTGATCAATTGGAACTTTTTGTATGCTGCAGGACCTCTTTTTGGGGTCTTTGCGAGCTGAAAACGAAGTTAGCACTACATATGAAAAAGTTGTCAGAAATTCCGGGAACACACTGTACTTATGAAACTATGAAAATGAAATCATTGAAATGAAATGAAACCCCACTTACGAAAATCATCACTACTTATCAAGCTTTTCACTCTACTTTGTACTCTATTCCTCAACTGAAACGGCAAGGTCACAGCACTATCTCTGAATTTTACACTTACATTACGTTCCTTCAAACGTTGGTTGAGTTTAGCACGCTTCCGTTCTTCTCGCCTCCTTAACTTTTCGGCCATCTTCCGCTCTTTTTCACGAGATACAGCTTTTAATTGTTTCAACTAAAAACTTACTTGGATGTACATAAGAAATAGTGATCCATCCGAGTAAAACATTATACTTCAAACCTTTCATTTACCTGCAATTCTTGAGCTTGCTTCTTTGTCCACTTGAGTGGACGGGGTTTGCAATATTCACAGAGGTAAGTATCATTTTGATTGAACTTCTTCGGGTCAATACCCATACACTTCATATGTTGCCAAACACTGAAACAAAACAATCGTAAGGCCATGAAGGGATGAAAAGCCCTAGGTAAGCAATTCATACAAGTGTTGACTAATACAATCGCCAACATCAAAACTACATACTTGCATTGTTCACATTCCACCATCCATTCGTCATTGTGTTGCATTTCACATAGACATCGCGTTACGTAATCTCCCCATTCAGCTTCCTAAACATTTTTTTGAATGAACTTCAGATATTACCACGTTTATTACTATGGCAAACCTCCGTGGCTTCCTCCTCATCACTGCTAGGATCGGTGCTGACGTTGGCCAGATCCTCATCCGGAGAAACTCCGTTGACTCCTAAACATTTGGACATAGTTCAAAAAAGACAAAGCAGAACAGCAGCATTTCGCAGTAAGTTCCGTTATACCCACCTTTCTGTTGGTAGCCCGGTGAAAGTGGAGATTGGTCAATTGAAGTTCGTTGGGATGCATGAGGTGACTGAGCTAGTCCTGGACTTTGGTATGCTCCACGTAATGTTTGTGCATTTGATATAGGAGGTAAAGGTGGAGGTAATTCGGGTGCCATCGAACCGTCATAAGCCTAAAGATACCATTGGTAATTTGAGCTTATAAATATGCTTCCAGACGCAGATACTTCAATTAAACCTACAGTAATAGGTACGACATTTCCTCTAACCGAAGAGCGTCCTGTAATACGCGAAGACTGATAATCGGTGGATCTCGTGGCTCCATATGGTCCCTCAGACATTTCGTGATGCAGTGGCGTGGTATTCGTTGCACCCATACCTGTGCTGCTGCTGCTACTCAACGAGGACCGTGTTCTGCCCTGCAACAAATTATACTTGTTGTCTCAAAACAAAGCAAGAAATGTAAAAAAAAAATCACCGATCCCCTTGGTCGTCCGCGACCTCTTGGAGCCCCCGTAGCTGGGCCTCCCGTTTCCATTTCCTCGCCTCCGCTGAACTGATTATCAGCTCCTGATCGACGTCGCATGCCAGTAGCTACATCGCTTGACGGTCGTCGTTTCTCTCTCGCTTGAGCTTCAGATTCCATCTTCTTCTGTTTTTCTTCCATTTCCTGAAGCAAAAGTTGATGTCTGACAGCGAGTGTGAAGTTTCATCGTGAAAACACGCCTGAGCGATTTCGCGACTAATTTCTTCAATCTTCGCCTTGAAATCTTCAGCTGAGATGTCATTATTGGTCCATTGTGGATGGTTCACACCAGTCTCGGCAGAAAGTGAAGTTGCTGCAGCAATGACTTCGGGAGGTAAAGTAGAATTCTGAAACAGCACACCATCAGCGATGAAACTGAAAAGGAACAATTGGCATACTTTGTTCGCTTCAGATTCGGTATAGTTTTGAGAACCAGCCTCAGCGTCATCCACGAAATTTTCGGGTAAAGGCGGCGTTTGTGTGGTATGGATAGTTCTCTGTAAATAACAAGCTGAGCGAAATTTCTCCATTCTCAGCAGTGAGACAAATAATCCTTCCCTAAACCCAGTTCTAAACATGCCCTTCGACATTTGAAAGCGTGTATCATGATGCAGTTAGAAATACGGTCGTCACAGAAGCGCAATAGGAATGCTGACATCTTTTACTATGATGACAGTGGAACAGGAAGTAAATCAACCACAAGCATAACCCCAGGCAGTAGGCATGAAGTGAGGCTGGCGATCTGAGATCAGGCTTGTTCTGTGTTCGTTGCGAAACTTACCGTTGGTGAAGTGACGCTCGCTGATACCGCTGCTGTGGCAGAATGAGGTGCTACTGTTGGAGCAGGTGCACGAATCCGAGCTGACGTCAGCCTTGAGGGAGACCGGATGCCGCCTTGGTGTGATGATGAGTCGGCATCCGGATGAAGGGAGGTAGGCGGCATACCCTGCATGCGGAGCGGTGACGGGGCTCCTCCACTACCCGGACCAACAGCAACACCGTCGGAGAAGTGCACCTGAACAAAAAAAAAANAAAAAAAAATAAAAACGATCGCTCATCATGACATCCACACGAGCTTGCTCATAAGTGCACTAGAGCGTTTTCCAGAGCTATTCAAGAGTGCAGCGGTAGTAACAATAGTCGAGAGACAAGTCAATAGCGGAACAGAAAATGTGTGAACCAGTCGCTAAAAATCGAAACAAACCTGTTTTCGAGGAGATATCGGCACTGTGCGAGTGCCATGTAGAGGTGTATTCAAAGGAATGCGGGGAGTAGCCTGTGGAGAATGCGTTGGAGATGTCTCTTCACCCGACACGCCACTTGTGCTTTCTTTTTTAACACGTCCTGTCACACTTCCTCCTGCTAGGAAACATTAACTAATTAGAAAAGACTTTAAAGAGATACAGGTCACACGTGAAAATGGAATGCTCCTCACCCCTCCCTCGAACAATTGGTCTCGTTCCACGGCTAGATACTAGAAGCGGAGCAGGAGCATTAGCAAGTGCAGCTTGACTAGGATCTGCAGGCGAAAAAGCGACGCGAGAACCAGCACCCGACTGCACCAGGACGACACGGTGGGATGTCTCGGGCCCTTGATGAAATGACCTGCAAAATTCAGCAGAGATAGAAGCAAAAACTGTTTCTGAAGAGTAAACCAGCAAACATACAAACCTGTGCGGTGGAGGATCTACTTGGCGTTGTACTGGTGGTGCCGCTACCATTGCTGGCGACTGTCGTTGATTTGGCTGCTGTGTGGATACATGTGGCGCATTGCCGATAACGCGCGGGCTAAAGAACCACTATTGTCGCATAAAGCAGTTACAAAAAAAAGAAACTGCGTCGTTCCACAGTCAACTGATTAGCAAAAATGATGGTCAATTGATACTGCAAAGTTGCCTGATGTTCGAATAATAGTAATTTTATGAGGAGGACGAACCCAGAAAGTCGCATTTGAGTAGGAGTAGTGACAATACGCGGCATAGTTCGTTTCTGTACTATTGAAGGGCTCGATATTGGAGCTGTAGTCATGACCCTCCGAGCCACTGGCGCGCCGTTATAGCCAGCAACAAAGAAATGTGGTTGTTGATGTTGCTGAGTATGAGGCAAACTGCGATCCGGAGCCACTAAAACACTGATAGCAGCTTACGTCTCAAAACTGAGGAGAAGTAGAACCAACTCATACCTTGGACCCCTCGATATCCGGATGAAGCTTGAATTGCAGTTCGGGCAGGCCGTGCAAGGTAACCGCTCTGGCTCTCAGAAGCGCGGTAAACACCGCCGTCACGAACCGCAGCAGGAGATCTGAAACACGTACATTTTCCCTTAGGCCAACAACCTCAAAAATTTACTCGCTTAAATCCAATATTTGAGACACCCTAAACATGGCATTGTTTCTTTGTGAGCTTCAACTTTAATTCTCGGCTCTGAAACATGACTTATCCTTAACGGCGAAAAACTTTTTTGCAAGGCTCATTGCATCAGACACTTTCTAGTCACTGCAATAGATGGAAATGGAAAACTGCGTCAGAGAGATCTACTACAGGGCACTGCTACTAACTAATACTCGTGGACAAATTACTCAAGTGATTCGTTGTGACCAGATTTCGCGAGGAATATTCAAAATGCATCCTCTTTTCCTTTCACCTCGATAAAAATTCTAATTAGAAAGACGAAGCGGATACCCCGGAATATCGAGTAATAAACCAGAAGCAAAAACTAGGCGGCACTTTGCAAAAAATAGCAAATTGCCTGAATAAATTGCCGACATAAAATGAAAGACGAGATGCATTTTGATACTGTTCAATAGCTTTTTGTTTCAACATTTCCACTATCGTTTCTGCGATTAGACAAAAACCATCAAGGAATATGGATATGTGTCATAGAATTACGAAAAAGTCTCATCCTTGTTTGCAGCGCTACTCTCTTTGCTACACTCACTTCACGTCCTTATCGGCTGACTAGACTATCGATAGAAAAAAATCGCACTTGAGTCAATGCAAGATAAATGCTATATTCAGTCACTGCTGAGACCCCGACTACCCTTTTCCCATGTATCACTTTTTTCAAAACGCTAATGGCGGAATCTACAGCGGCTTCCTATTTTCTAATGAATGTGACGCTCGTAGCCAATATTTTTCCACGATAACCAACTATTTTGAGGGTTATTTAGTAACGCAAACAGCATGATATTGATCAGCAGCGTGTGAATAACATCGATTATTAATTTTAGACAGTAAACAAGCAATATAGTAGCCAACCTATTGATAATGTTCGGTTCCCTTTGTTCGTACCCCAGATGTGTTGGAGGTATTCGACTAGAAGCAATGTGTTGTTCGGATGGCACTTCGAGATCATCAGATACAATTCCAACTGAAATTCCAAACATTTATGCAAAAATATTTCACATCTGCTTGGATTTCAACTTCTACGTGTCAAATGTCGTTAAGTCAAGTCCTGACATGTACAGACGCGCGTTTGATGTCAAGTGGCTTCATCCTTATTCTGAAGAACAAAATACGAAAATACAAGTATAGAAAATCCCAAGTACAAAAATTTTGTTTTTATTAAAAGCTGAAGCCCTATCGATATAAATTTCACACGCAATGCATTTTAAAAAGACTACTCTACACCTTTGACGTTTTAATACGACCAAACAGAAAAATTTTCGAAAAATTCTGGTCCAATTAAGCCTAAACGTAAAATAAGACTCTATTACTTACGCTCAGCCAGCCCAGGAAGCACAGGGAATGCTTCAGGTGGCTCCACTTTGTTGGCAAGTTTCGATTCACATGGAGCAGCGTAATCGTGGTCCTTCAACAAAACGTTATAACACTCCAATCATATGATTACTGCATTACACATGAAATTAGAAAATTAAAAATGGCCAGTCCCTCACGCGCAATCTGTTTTGTTGCACAGAACACAATATTAGAGCTGTATCCTTTAGGTGTTTTATGAGATGGTGGTAACGAGCCCACAATCTTGCTACTTTATTTGGCTTCACGAAATTCGTCATGTCCCTTAGGCTTGTAAATATAACAACTCGAAGCGCTCCCACATAAGCGCATTAAGAATGACATGTCCATGCATGCGTTTAGGGACGACCTCATTTGGCTCAATATATGATGGACCGAACCACTCAACAGAAAAGAGGAAGAACTACTTTACTTACTCCTTTGAGTTTTCTCTCCTCACTATTCCAACTGCGTTGAGCACCATCTTCTTCATCCGTAACATCATCGTCAGAATCAGCAATAACATATCTTTTCACTGGTGTAGATTGAGTGTTCGAAGCTGCTTCGCTATTAATACCAGAGCTTTCTGTTACACTTTGCTCTTCTTCATTTTCTTGTGGATGTACAGGTTCGGAACTTCCACGCTCCACTTCAGAAGACGGTTCACCTTCGGGTCTAGGCTCGACTGCAACAAAACAAAATTAAATGAGAAGGCGAAAAAGTTCAAAAAAGCTGGGCAATGCCTTCAGCGAAAAGAAAATGCATTGCTCTCACAAATTGGTCGCTTTTGTTGCAGAAAAAAAAGTATACCCACTTGGCAGAGATTCAGAAGACGGTTGATTTAATGAAATCGCTGAGGGATCTTCTGCAGGCGACCCTTCACATACGTCGGACATTTTTATAGCTTCTATGAACTTTGACACAGACCACGCTCAGCTTACACAATAAGGGCACATGAATCCTATAAAAGAGTAAAATTTCATACCGGTTCTCATTGTACGATAAGGTCTACTTGCTAGAAAAATAGGAAGATGAGCAGAAAATGAACAAATACAAAGAAAAGCTGAGAATAGTTAGCCACTGCGTCAATCAACGATGACTGCAAAAAAGGTGACAGTAGAAACACCTTGGGAGTAACAACTTATCATGTCGGACTTCAATAATTATCGACAAAATTCATAATCTCACCCAGACACGGCTGTACACAAAATACCTCTACAGTAAAAAAAAATGAACAAAAAGATGCTCGCTACATTGACCGGATTAACACTCGTTCGAATTTTAAAGGTAACCTCAGAAGGTTTCAGAGAGGCTGTTGATGTTCGTGGAGGGAACACATGTGGGAAGAGTGGACGCACGCCACGCATTGCTGCGCGTTGCGGTCGCATCAATTGGCTCAAAGCCAGTTTGCCAAAACACGCCACACGTACGACGGTACAAGTGCATTGGCGCTGTGCCAAAAAGTTCGACCTTGTTGACCCTTTAAAAACAACGATGGAGCGCGCTTATATCGGGATTTTGAATAACTTGTGTTCTGTTTACAGGATACTTCACTAGGTTATCGTAAAATAGAATTAGGCTTCTCTGCTCATGCACTCATGTGCCATTTCTTTGTTATGGCTGTCAGCGGATTAGAACTATGTAAGAGTTACTTCCTAGGGGGATATTACGGTTTATAAACCAGAATGACGTGCTGACTGTATTTAAAAGGGCTTTGGCTCTATGCAGAAATCTTTTTATTCAACATTTTCAAGTTGTATAGACCGAATAAAGCATTCCCTATACTACTCTGGCCTAGTCATTAAAGTGCATTTCTTTTTCCATTGATCTTTTTAATTACATAAGCTTCGCGGAAGGTATTTTTCGCTGCGTTTTTGCTCGAATGCAATAAAAAACTTCCATAACATTGTGAAACTCAGTGCCTACTGAAATTTGGTTATTGTTATCGGTGATGCAAAGTTGGAGAGTTCAAAGTACAGTGCTCAAAGTATGGTATGCTGTGTGCCACGAAGATCGAACCAGGATGGGACTAACTTTTACTGGGAGGGGTATAATTGTAAGTAAGATTCACTTCCATTATTCCCTGAGCCCTAAGGGATCTGACGTTGCAGGTCTTCAGGGGGATTGAGAATGTGTTCAAAGGAAAAGCCACTTAAAAGGAATAGATACTGCCCAGTGGTATATGCAACACATTATTTATTTTATCTCTTCTTCTTCTTCTGCCTAGCATTAGCTACGAGGTCCGCTGACATCCATTGCCTATCTCTAGGGAAAGTAACTTTTAGTCAGCTACCCGCCTGCACTAACTACAGGTGTAATCGAATTTTTTAGGGAAAATGTCTTTTCAGACCAGTGAACTGGAGGCAGTGACAGAGTACAAACCGAGCATGCTCTTCACTTTCCAATTATAAGTTTTTCTGACCCAGCTGGAATTCGATCAATAATAAGCGATATTTGCGTGATGGTCACCGCCTCTGCCCGTGAGGCTTATACATTGATGGAGTAAGGCCAGATACAGTATACTGAATATGCTTTTGTTTTATGGAAATAAATAGTGATAACATCAGCTGTTTTGCCTCACTCCCTTTTTTAGAAAACGGTTCCTAAATTTCCTATATATGGAACTACTAGGCAAACTGTAATAACAGTTGAAAGGTATCATAAGTACTTACTTCATGGTTCTGAGCACTTCAGTTCTCTCCGCTCATTGGTGAACACTGCCTTACTCACAGTTAACATTTTTTTTAATAAATCCTTTACTTTGGTTACCAATGGTTCGTTTCTTTTGTGAATGTTACTCAACCGCTAATTGCCAGATTTCTCATCACATTATTCTTCTCTAGTTCTCCTTATTTTCTTTTAAAACACGGCGGTTTTGAATCTTCTACGTTCTCGATCGGTTTCCTATTTCCCGATTTTCTTCTTGCATTTCTGTTTGAGTCCTTTCTTCTGATACTTGAAGGCCACGAAGTTGGCCAAATCTTTATGTTTTGAAACTTTTGTTAGAGTATGAAAAAACGGCGCAGGTTTCTTTGAGATGGTCCTTTAATGGTTTTGACGACAATGTTAACGGAATGATACAACCATACTCTTATTGTTAGCCATATGTCTTGGTGGATTTGCTGGCTGGTCGTCGATTCCTATCAGCTAACGTTCCTGATTCGAACTCTAAGGCGTTCGTTCCCACATTACACAGATTTTTTCGTCTATTTGTTTCTTACGGTACTTATGCTGTTGAGGCCTGCACATAGGACTCCCGAGATATTCAAGACAAAGCTTCTAATACTATGTATTGTCTTACACGCCTAAATTACGTTACTGTACTACAGTACAACATCATTAACCCATCCCTCTGTTGCCTTTGTCTCACTTTCGCGTTATTTACGGTCGCCGAGTTGCAAGAGCAGGCAGATTCATCTGATCTATACAGAATGCGTCCGATTTAGGGCCCATGCAAGTTGCTTCTATCAATGATGTGAAGATTTACAACTTGAGTGCCGGGAAAAGCATACCGGAAGTGAGTTTGAGTCTTAATGCTCTTCCATTTACCGTCACTCCAAGTACCGCGTTCGATAATACTAAAGTCTAGCATTGCAGTGGATGAGCTCGGAGGCAAGGCGAAGAGCGGAACGAAAAAGCATAGGTAAATTTTTGGCGTATTAAAATATTCTCTTTTAAACAACAAGTTATCTGCTGGCAAGCGGGAGCTAGTTCCCTTCAAAGTTACTGTAGTTGGGAACCTCCGTTTCAAAAACCATCGGCAACTTGTGATGCTCTGCTGGTTGATTCGTTTTGTTAAATCATGTTTTGGCCGTAGCGTGCCTTTTCGCCTTTTTTGCCTTACCAGAAAGTGCTCACTCGGATACCAGTGAGACCCTTCTCCGAGCAGATAGTTTGTAAACGGGGCGCTACCCATAATACAACTCGAACGTTAGGTCGCCTTACTTCAACTTTAATGAGATGTTTACCCCAGCTTTCGATTCTCGGCTAAGGCAGTTTTTTCATATTTTCCCTTTCCTAATCATTCTATAAGGCTTTTGCTGTTGACAGCTAGTCGGCATTCTGTAGACTGTCTAGCGTATTCTTGCAGATGTGAGGAGACGTATTCAGCTGATCCAGGACTTTGAAATGCCCGATGTCAGTCATACCGTTAATGTTTCACGCGACGGGAGATATGTATTTGCAACTGGTGAGAATTACTCTCAATACAAGAAAAGTAGCAGGCATTACCTTTTTTCAATGTTAATGGTTTGAAAAGGAGTTCTTTTACTTGTCGCCTCCGTGAGTATCAATAGTATTTTCCACTGATCTGACATATCTTAATAATTTTCCGTCTAAAACGAGGCTCCGTGTTTTTACCTATATCTTTTTCGAACAGTCTGCCTGCTATTTGAATCCTACTCTTAAGGCACTTACAAATCGTGGTTGAAGTGTTACGATCTCGAGAACCTCGCTCTGAAATTTCAACGAGGACTCGATGCCGCCGTTATCAAGATGATTCCACTGAGCGACGACTATTCCAAAGTACAGTATTCAGTTTAAAATGTTCTGTAATCCTCACATTTATCTTATTTTCAGTTAGTTCTTTTGCAAGAAGATCGGTTCCTCGAAATGCATGCAGCGTTTGGAAGATATTTTCGTATGCGTATGCCACGATTCGGTAGAGATATGGCGTTTTCAATTGAGCGAAGTGATCTTTTTCTTGTTGGTGCAAGGTATTGCTGTGTTTCATGATGTAATCTTTGCCGATACTCTTCAAAATGTGTTTCTAGTTCCGAAGTCTACCGATTGAATTTGGAATTGGGAGAGTGGCTAGCCCCTCTTCAGACAAATGGATCAGCCTTGAATTGTTGCCAATTTGCAGACGCACATCAGTTGTTCGTATGCGGTTGGCAGTTTTTCTGCTAATGAAGTCTGCTTATAAATTACATACATTTGCCGTCATTTATTTAGGTACTACCGATGGTCAAGTAGAGGCATGGGATCATCGCGACAGGTCAAGAGTAGGGATTCTAGATTGTTTACCATATGTACCCGAGGAAGTCAAGTTCGTGTTAAGAATTAATTGTACAGTCTACTTGTAATAGTTTTTCGTAATTCTCCAGAGGAAAATCGGAAATCACGTCACTGAAGTTTCGAGATGCTTTACGTCTTGGCGTTGGAACGAGCACAGGCCAGGTAGGGTCGGAAAGTTTTGACCGACTTTGCTCTCTATTCTTGATTTCTTGGAATAGTGACCTTCGTGGTCGAAAACAAACTATAAAATCCTGATTATCCACTTGTATGACGTTAGGAATTCGTTTTTTCTTATTAGGTGATGCTGTATGATGTTCGATCGAGAAAACCGTTGATAGTGAAGGACCATATGAACGACTTTCCGATCAAGAAGATTGATTTTGCTCTGAGGTACGTGAATTCCTCTCTCTTTTCCCATTTCGTTCCATTTACTTTTCTTGTTTCTTTCTTTCTTTTTCTATTCTTTTGGTTATTGATTCGCCAAATTTTCTCCGAAACTTTGGGCTAACATGAGTTGGCTCCCATTCCTTCTACGATACATTAGTCCCTTTGTGTCCTTTTTACAATCCCTTTTGTTTCGGTTTATTTCATCTGTTAAAGAGAAACCGAGAGCCTTGTTCTGAGTATGGATAGTCGTGTTTTGAAAATGTGGCACGAAATGGATGGAAAACCGTTTGCTGCTATCGAAACTGAGCACGCTTTGAATGATTTCTGCCGATATCCTGAATCAGGTGACGCTTCTTTTGCTCGAAGGATTTCTAGAACTCGTAACTAGCCTTATCTCAATGTACGAAACTTATATTGCTGTAAATGACTTGTTTTAGGTCTAATATTCATGGCGAATGAAGCTCCTCGAATGCTGCAGTTCTTTATTCCCTCCATTGGTACAGCTCCGAAGTGGTGCTCGTATCTTGAAGCATTGACGGAAGAATTGGAAGAAACCCAATCGGCTGCTGGTATGTTTGCTCTGAGGTCGAAAATCTGGAATTTAGAACTTTTTTCTTCAATTTTACTCTTTTTAGTATACGACGATTACAAGTTTGTGACGAAAGAGGAGTTGGAGCAGCTGAGTCTATCCCACCTTATTGGGAGCTCGGTGTTGAGGGCGTATATGCATGGGTACTTCTTGGATCGAAGGCTCTATGATAAAGCTCAACTTATTACTCAGCCGTTTGCCTATGAAAAGTATAAGAACCGCAAAGTAAGCTCCCTGTTTTAGTTGTATTCCAGTACTGCCTTAACTGTGTAAGACACCGGTAATATCATTCATTGAAATCTTGTTTGAAGGTCCAAGATATTATGCATCAAGAGCGTGAAAATAGGATCATCAAGAGCAAATCGGAAGTTGACCAGCCTAAGGTGAGCAAAAGCTATTTTCACAGTTCTACGCACCGCTCCTCTCTGTCTAAACAAAAAATATTTATCTCATTCGATAGTTTCAGGTAAACAAAGAACTAGCGGCACGGTTACGTGCAGAAGCGGAGGCAGCTGCTGAAAGTGCAGCCACTAAATCAGCAAAGAAGAAGAAGAATGAGAAGAAGAAGGTCGTTGTTATTAACCTAATAGGCACAGATTAACAACTAGTAATTAGTTTTTCCAGGCAACTACTGCAGCTGCTATTCTTCAAGATGACCGTTTCAAGAAACTGTTTGCAGATGAAGACTTTGAGGTAGGTGTTGTGGGCCGTTTGCTTCTTCAGAGAGCCGATGTGAGTGATAGGAAGCCGCTTAGCTGGCTTCTTTTCACGTGTTGCTTTGACGGCTTCCGATAGTCCCGTTCACTTCATCCTCCACCTGGCCTTGATACATTTCCTAGACTCTCTTTTCAAGCAAATTTAAGCAAACGCATCGAAATCGCGAGATCCAAGTTGGATTCCCTGGGGTTTTATTGTTTTTTCACAATTTCATCGATTCAGCTGATTTAGAGGAATAAATATACTCGTAGTTGTAAATGTCGTATTTGAGAATCATTTTCAGGTAGATCAAAATTGTGAGCTGTTCAAGCGAAATATAGCCATACAACACAAGGAAAATGCTGGGAAGGCGGTAGAGATCCCGGACGACGATTTTGAGAACAAGGTTGTGTCTAAGTTCTCTGTACCTCATTTTTTTCTTGAACTATGATTTCTTCGTAATAGTAAACACAAAGTGCATTGAGGCGAGGCACATTTTTTCGAAACCCTCAGAGAGAGCTTGGCGGGCCCAATAGTGAGGCAGGGATAGGCTTTCTTCGTGTTCCTTAAAATATTTTTTCTTTTGCAATGTTTTCATAAAGCTAACAAAGGCGCGATTGCAAACATTGCAGCAACGACTGAATCTGTACAAATAGAAATGGTGTAAATATGTAAACTAAAAATCTTGTAGAGATAGCAAAATATTGCCTGTATCTAATCTTGAGATGAGGAAAATATATTATTGCTGCGGTTAGCAATAGCCAATTGTTTTCTACATTGTTCGAGTTATTACACTTTATTGAACTAGCTGCTTCCTCCGGATCAAAGGACTGAAAACGATTCGTTTCGCGTACCTGTTCCATTAAAATTGTTATCGCTCATCTAGAAATGTATTTTGTCTTACCGTTTGAAAAACGACGGGGGAACTGGGAGTAAGGTGAGGGGAGGGAAGAAAAGGAGGTTAGTATGAGGGGGTGGGGTGGGAGTGGGTGGAGTAGGGTCGAATTTTATGCCCTCACACTTGACATTAAGGTCAAGGCCATTTCCTTAAATGCCATGATTTAGATCGCTCAATAATATCTTCGATGTTAGATAGTTCGTGGTTAGTGCAAACGGCGTTCGAATCGATCTCCGTGTAATATTCGCTATTGCTCTGAAATTCGGGGAATAAGTGCGTGAATCCTCACCTCACAAGAGAGTTGCTCAGTTTAGAACTAAACTAGCTTTTTACTGAAGATTTTGCATTTTTTAGAATATTGATTACTTAGTGATGGAACTGTTAAAACATTCTGTTATAGGACGAAGAAGTCATTGAACAGTCGGAATTACCCGATATTTATGATGAGACTGAAGGCACCCATCAAAGGATCAAAAGTGCTGCTAGTAGTAGCAGTGAGAGCGGTAGCGAGACCGACGAGGAAACATTGCCTGAAAAAAAGAAAAGGGAAAGAGAGAAAGCCCGTAGGAAACAAGAGAGACTGGAACGCCAAAAACAGCTTTACGAAGAGAAGACGTTAAAGAGAGAAGCAGAGAGGTAAATTCGATTTTGTGATGTTATGTTTTGCTGCTTTACTCGCTGCATTCCCTGCAGAGCTGCTAGATTGGTAAACAAACCGAAGAAATTCGTACTTCATGAATTGGATTCGACGGAGAGTGCCCGAAGGTTCCTGGACGAACACGTAATGGAAACTGCAATAGAAGAGGTTGGCTCTTTTCTATTTTCCAAGCCATTCTATTGCTCGTCCCTTAAATGGTGACGTTGGGTCCTGGAAAAAAATTGGAGATTGGGTTTTTGTCTTGAAAAGAGGTCGTTACTTTTTTTAGGAGTCATCGAGTTTAGCGTCGAAGAAAGCGCTCATGCAGCAGCAAGGCGAATTTGAGGAACACGATGATGTGTTCGGAGGACGCTCAATAACATTCAATCTGGTGAAACGAGGAGCATCGGCTAGAGAAGCGAAAGCAATCGAACAGAAGGTAAATACTTTTGCAAGTAGTAGTTGAGTAACTGATGATTTCGGAGCTTTAATGGTTGCTCATATCTTATTTGATTGTTCTAGAAAAAACACAAAAAGGAAAGGAGAGAAATTGTTCGAACTCCTACACTGAATATAAAACGTTCACTCAAACGGCTACCTGGTAATCTTTCCAAGCCCTAAGAATTAGTACTTGTAATAGTTGTTATTGTTGTGATGTTTTGCCACTTTTGTTATTGCCCCAATTTGTTGATCATTTTTGTTATTGATTGATTTGAAACAGATTATTTTATGAATAAAAATGAAAACGATGATGTTGCCAAGTGGGGATTATGTGCCATTCTGGGTAACTTGAGGATTCTCGGGTTTTCAATGATGAAAATGTGAAAAATCGATTAAATTTATAATTCTCAATAGTAAAGTAGAAAATGCAGTTCAATTTTACCAAAGGTCTCTGTCTTTCACTATTTTATTAAGCTGATATTTAAGTAATTACGTAGTCAAGTACTTCAAATATTTATCGCAAAGAATAACTACCTGTTTCCAAGGTAATTTATATTTATGGACCAGACACCTGAGTACTTTATGGAATACGGCCAAACGAATATTCAAAATATCGAAAAAAATTTTATTTATAACAAAGGCAACTATATTCTCTAGAATGTAAACGTTAACTTAGTTACCAACCCAATAACTCTAGTAGTTTGAAGTTTAGAGTAGGCGCTAATAAATCGAAACTTATAGGTCATTCTAGATATATGTAAGAGTGCAAATGGACAGATGGATTATCGTGAATGGAGAAATATGCACTTTTATGGAAGCACGTGACTCGATTATCTCGGTCACCCAACCGGTTACATTAGACAGCGTGGCGGCAGATGTCCCCGAAAGTCGCTAGGAGGGGTTGATGGAGAATATGGGTGAAGCTCACGAAAGGAGGGTGTCTCGTGGTGAATTTGGAAAAGACAGCCATCCAGAGGACTTGGTCAGGTATCACGGCTCTGCTCTAGTGGATAAAGAACGAATGGTCAGCTTATTCGAGAAATTTTGGGACATAAGGCGCCATCTAGGTTCGGAGGAAGAGGTCAGACGTATTCATGGTATAGGTGGTGCTGATTAGACGCTTTTTCCCACTATTGAAGTAAGACGCACATTCACACCACACTTTCTCCCATGACCAACTTGTTACTGTTAATGTCGTGGGACGAAAGGCCCGCATCCAATCGAGAATGCTGATACACTTGTTAACTTGATGAATCGTGTGCATGGCGGAACGGAGAGCAAGAAGGGTGTGGCAGAAATTCCAGTCGAGGTCGTTCGCCGAAACAAGGTCATAACGTATGGCGACGGAAGGAACGCATCACCTTCCCCCTCACGTCAGAACTGCTTGTGAGCTGAACTCGAACCGTCGATGACCTCAAAAGCAACTCCTGGCTCTCATAGTTGGTAGAGATTGTTCTTGCCAGTGACCAACGCTTTTAGCTCAACATAGGGTGCAGTATTCATCAAGCTGTTCATCCTTTATAGCAATTGGTTAACAGAAAAAGCTGAAGCGTACATCCTACAGTACTAAAGTAACGGAAAAAAGCTATGCGCAGCGTAAAAAACAGCATAATAATCTAGAGCAGTCGAAAAGATACCTTCATTACATTGCTACTTTTTACTGTCCCTCGTATTGATCTGATTATCGCCCTTGTTCTTGGATGGAGTTGAGGTAGAGGCTAGTTGCGCACTATCACCCCCTCATGGTCCAGGAATCGAAATCCGACACCAGCCCGAAACTACCAAACAACTACCTGCTATAGACACTATGTAAGCTTAAAAAGAGTTTGCGGCAGAGATGCTTCAGAGAAAACAGCTATTCATCTTGTTCAAGATCAAGTAGGGCTTTAAAGGCAATCGTTTTGCCATCGTCGAAAACATCAGACTCAACGTGATGACTAAACTTCGGAGAGCACCAAATCAGGGGCTTTTCGTCGTTGTTTTCGGCAATGGCAAAGTTCCAGGAGTCCCGAAGTCTTTCAGTGCTGGTCAAATCCGTTTGTGATATAAGTCCCGCATTCGACTTTTGCAGAGTGGTAGTGGTATTTGAATGCTTTTATGGCCTATACATTTCAAGGACTAAATGACAGCTGTCGTACAAATCAGTGGCAGTTATCTTACTAGACAAATAATCGACCCCGGTGGGATGGAAGGCTTGGTTGGCTTGGGCGAGTACCGATCCGAGATCCGATCTGAGGACATGCGTGTTCTAGTACGTTGCTGCAGGAGAACTTCCGCCCAGAGTGACTCAGGCAGTGCATGTGTTTTAGAGGAAGATATACTAAAGCTCTTTGGGCCAAAAAACCTGGAGGGCAGGATGGACACCATGCTGCACGAGGTTTGTCGGTATGTGCCGAAGTACAGGTGAGCCCCTCTAACTCAAGCAAATTTGCCAACCGGTGCATGTAGTTGAACTGGCTGCCAGTCGACTGCTATAGCTTAGAGGGGTCTCTTGTTATGTCTGATTGTCAACTACAATTTCAGCTATCCTTGATTTTTGATAGATATTAAGCTCTTCTGGTTATTTACTTCGACTGTTACAGCTTTTTCTGTACTAGTCAAGGAGCGTGAAGTGGCACGCATAACTGATCAAATAAATAAATAAATAAATGATTGTAGGTAATAAGAGCTTTCTTCTGGAATTCGTTCCCCTCTTACGTGAAGGAGTTCCATACGGTGACCCGGGCTAATACACATAAACGGGGAATCATTGGATGGACTAGTCTCGTTTTTGCCATTTTGAAAGAAGAGCTAGGCAAACCAATAAATTTTGAAAATCTCTGATGTGATGTTTATGCTTGACAGGATGTCGCTTTGTTGATGGACACGTTTATGAGCCGAAAACCTTAGTATGGCCTTCCCTCTTTGCTGTACGCTACCAGTCCGCTCATGTTCAGTCTACTGGAGGTTTCTGTCCACCCTCTTGACCATTTTCCCAGAATTCTGCTTGTTCCTTTTACTGGCTTTCAAATTTGCGTGATTGCAGACATTCCTTTCCATGAGCGGATGCCACTGCTGCTGGGAATGCTGCATACCGCCAACATGATTGTATCCTGATTTTGTCTGCTTTGGGTAAAAAGGTTGCAGTCAAGGTAACCTCATGCCTGCTGAACTGACATGAATTGAGGTTCGACTAGGCCATTGTCAAAGTCGAATAGAATAAGAAAGACCGCAGAAGAGCGGTTGAATTTGTAGTGAATCACAAGAGAACTGGTTTTTCACTTTACTTACCACCTCATCCCACAGGGACCAGGTCTGCGAAATGATCCAATGGTCCACACTTTTTCATAACTGTCAGCGATAAGAATTCACTCTTTCTCGGAACGAGGAGGTAGTTTCATCGTCGCTAAAAACTTCTTATATGAGAAAGGGATCAAAGAGCAAGTCGAAAACGAGCTTGGCTAAAGTCATGTCCGATTCACGGCCACGAGATGGATTGCAGTAAGCTCAGGCACTTACAAAAAAAGTTTAATTGCCGTCAACGGCATTCCGTGAATTATCGGTGCTGGATAATAGCTTTGAATTGGAGCTGAAAGCACAGAGAGCTCTGTCTGAGCGTGCATTGTCTTTCGCGAGCTGTTTATTTGTTTTTATTTGTTTACTCAAAGCCCTCTGCAAACAATCTCTCACCATATCTTGAACGATTTCAGCTCTCTATACAGTTCAGGTGACAATTTTTTCGTCTGGGGAGGGGTAGGGTGGAGCTCATGGGAAGCAAAAGGGGTCTTGATAAGCTCAGGGGTACAGCACCTTTAAAGATCATATTATTTTCANTTTCAGACTGCTTTTACATGATTTTTACATCCTCACCGATCTTCTCACAAAACTGGTACAAAGTTTTAGCCACGTGGGGGTTTTATTGCGTAAGTGGTCTATACAAAGCCTTGAAGTAGTCAGCCGAGGACAAGTCAATGTTCCTACCCTCCTCGACGACTCTGGTACCGATCAAGTGACGGCGGAGAGATGGAAGGCTTGGTTGGCGTGAGTGGGTGTCGATTGGTGATTCGAAAGAAAGAGCCTCAGTAAGAATGAAAATTAGACTCACTATTGTTGTGCGCTAGGAGTTACCTCGATAAGGTCGCACAGCAAATGGAAAGTTCCCGGAGGAATTTATCTGACGAGTACGGTAGCAGTGTGGCATCAAATCAGTCAAGCTGATGCAATTTACGTAGAAAGCTTTTTTTCACTACTTGATCCAAGAAATTCAAAGTTTTGATGCCACTAATTTTCCTCTTGTTACGATTTATGAATGAACAGCTGCTTGAAGTACTTATACCGACTACTTTCCCTATTTCCCAAGTAAATGAATGGTTTTGGTAAAGAAATGTCTTTCGAACGCACCCTAGCTGCTTTCAAAGTCCGCGATTGGAACGCGAGTGACGGGGGCGAGGCTTGTCCCTTATTCACAATTGAAACTTGGTCGATACGTCGGACGAGTAGTCCCCGTCGCTCGCTCGTTCTATCGCTTGCGTATCAAATCACGGACTGTGAGCAGCCTATTAAGTCGACTAGCTGCGGCCAAGTCTGGCGTAGTTCAAGTCGATGACAATGTGATACAGCAAGGTAAGAAACTCGTCTGAAAAAATGTCCCTACGCTTCTTTACGCCATTGCATATTGTGCATGGTCATTTTGAAGTATACAATACTCTTACCGAGACTATTCGGACGAGTTCTTTGTCACTGGTGTGTCACTTGTTACGTTGTGCAGCTAGGTGAATGGGCCACTACAGCGACATTTCGCCCATTTTTTGCAGACCTTTAGTTACGTCCAACACGGCATCCCTCCACCCCGTATGTAAGCCTCACCCTCTGAATCGCAGTGCCTTGGAAAGTCGTCGGGGAGGAGGTCCCAGGAGGAAGATTTTCAATAACCAGTTCCTATGGTGCCCTTTCTAGGCTAATTCTGCCGCTTAATGCCGTCTATCTGCCGTTCAATTCTTTTTAATAGGCATTCCAAAAACCCATATCTCACTGCTATGTCGCCTGTAGTCGGGAATCAAAGATCAGAAGCAAACAACAGGGTTGAAACTACCTCAGGTTGGTCTTCCATTCAGGATATTGATCAAAATGCTCCGTGAATGAAGGGAGTAAGGTTATCCAAGGAATCATCGGAAGGCCCAGCAGTCAAGAACCTTACGAA